TTTTTTTTTTTTTTTTTTTTTTAAGAGCAAGTAAATTTGGCTTTAGTTTAGTGACTACCGAATATCAGTAGTGGAAATCTGATGCTCTAACAAGGGTAGTTATGTGCATAGGATGTGAGTATGTTCATTCATGCATGAATCTATTAACAAAGTCGAGAAAGTACAGTCTTATACTTTCTGTTTTAAAACATTGTATTATGGAAAATTTTCATCACATACAGAGGAGGAGATAATGATGAACTCACATTGCCAAGTTTGAACAACTTCTGTCGATCTTATTTTGGCTTAACTCATTTTACAACCCCACCCCTATTTCCACTGTTTTGTTTTTATTTATTTATTTTTAATAAAGCAGATAGCAGCCATATAATTTCAAATTTCAATATATTCTGTTGTAAAAAAAGAGCTATTTTTTGAAAAGTATAATCAAAATACCACCAGAACAAAATAAGGAAAATAACATCATCTTACCAAATACACAGCCAATGTTTAAGTTTCTCTATCAGCCTTCAGTGGTTTACATAGATGGTTTGAGTCAGGATCCAAATAAGCTCCATACATTGCCTTTGCTTCATGTCTCTTAATTTATGTTTTTATTTGTTGCATGTCTGGAGGAATTTTTTTTTTATTTTTAAAATTTTGCTGATTGAATCCTTGTTATAGTTTTTTTAAATGTCATTTCCTATATACTGTGTTTCTTGTAAATTTTAATTAACTCTCAAGATGTGATAATATTCAAGTTTGATAAGCATATATATTTAAAAGCAGGTCTTTAGGGACTGTGAGCTTCCTGTTGCATTGCATTATCAACCACATTTTATAACCTCTGTTCTTATGATGGTGGTACTGTGGGTACAGACTTTATCAGGGTGATCCATCCAGCACAATGTTGCCCATCAGTCTTTTAACTAAAAGTTTGAGAAGCAATTGGTGATTATTTCCCATATCCATTTGTTTTTGAGGGATTACATAATAACTCTATCATTTTGCAGCATTCTTTTTATATTAAATAGAATTATAGTCTGTCCCCTGTAGTCACAAGTTCCATATCTGTGGATTTAATCAACTGCAGATTGAAAATACTTTCAAAATTGTGCCTGTGCTGAACATAGAATTTTTATCAAGATTCCCTCGACAAACTGTTCAACAACTATTTAGATAGAATTTATATTGTATTAGATATTATAAATAATCTGAAGATGATTTAAAATATACAGAACGATGCATACAGGTTACATGGAAATACTATATCATTTTATATAAGTGACCTAAACTTTGACACATTTTGATGTCTGCAGTAGGGTTTAGGGAGTCCAGGAACCAATCCCCTGCAGATACTGAGAGAGACTATATCTAGGAAAAAAACTTTCTTCCATTACCTGCTCAGTTTATGTAGAAATGGTCCACCATTTTCTTTTTCAGGTTTTATGAATGTTAGTTTCTTCATATTGCATGAAAAATTCCAGGTCAAAATTATATTTGTGTTAACAATAATTTGCACTTAGGGTCAAGAAAGTTCAAAACTGGAGTTAGACCTCAGAGGTAGAATTTAATTCTTCTCTCAAAGGCATTGCACACATTCTAGCTTGTTTAATTAAAATCTTATATATTAAATATAGATTTAAATGTGTGTTTCTCTTATTCTTCTAGGACATTCCGGAGATGTACATCTGAAAATAAAATATTTGGTTAGTGATTCATAAGATTACCTATATGAATGTTGTATTCTGTTTCCTTAAACTTTATTTTTTTTCTGCTACTGCCGTAAAGCAATAATACATGATTAGTGGAAGTCATCTTGAGTTGTCTTGAATTCAATAGAATTTTTAAAAATTTTATTCTAATTTTAAGACTAAAATAAAGAAATCATTGATTTATTTGGAATAATTTCCTTTTATATTTAGAAGGACTCTCTTTGATGGTTTATTAGTTGGTTATCTTCCAGCTCTCCACATTTGCTTTGGTTGGCCCATGGTCAAAGTGACCTGTTAGAGATCCTTCATATCTTTGAATATAGAAGCAAATAAAAATGAAGCTGAATATAGTTTTAGTTGCAAAAGACTTTTCTACTGCGTTTCACACACCAGGATGTCCCTTTAGTTTCGACTATTATAACATCCATAGTAATAATAAGGGCAATTGGTTTGATTTGCATTTTAATTCTAAAGTAAAAATGTAATTCTATTAATAACTTTTAGAGAGTTAATGGGTCATCTCCCTCCTTCCTTTAAAGAATATAGGGAGCCAGTCATTCTAAATTCACAACGGCAAAACATCTGGATTACACAGTCAAGAATTCATTTTTTAGTGCAGTGTGTCACACCTATGGGGAACCCTTTCTCCTTTCCTTTTTTCCCACAGAGCCTATGAGTCTGGTGTCCATCCCCATTTCCTTCTTTTCCAAACTGATTTCCTGATAGGATCTGAAAAGCTCAATCTGATTAGGGTGATCATCCTCAACACGTGCATATTCCAAAGATATCTGCACTTTAATCAGGTTTGATGTTCTTCCAGCCCTGGCATTGATAGAGACTGTGCTTTATCTAATTCGTTCGCATCCTGTGGGCATTAGTAGTTAAATATTTTCAGTAGCAGATCTGGTTTGAATAGGGTGTGGTGTTACATAAAAGAAAGTAAGGTGAAATTTAATTTTCCATCAAGATCATTCTCAGGGTCATCTATTCTATTTACACATACAAGATCAGGGATGTTTCCATCTTAGCAATTCTTGGTGATCATATGCGTTTTCTATAATCAAAACATGAAAGCAAATAGTGACTTTAGAAATAACACAGTATGCTGAATTTGTCTTCATACTTTGCTTATAATTACTTAAAAATATAACACATAATCTTTGGCAAAGAGATGAGAGGAGACTCTAGTTCTTCATCTGCTGCAGTTCTTACATGTCCAGGCCTTGCTTTAGGTACTTTAGATGTTGAAAGGGACCAGGCTAAGCAAATCATGATCCTTCTGCTCAAGTATTTTACAGTTTCATGAAATTATCATAACTCAGTGTTCTCTTTACATACTTAGAATTTTGTTAAACATGTTGGGAAATGTGGAGGGTGGGGATATTTTAAACTTATGTAAAAAATGGTAATGAATTTAAGAAAATTACTCCAAAGAATAATGCAATATGATCTAGCAAGAAGTACTTGTATAATAGCATTGGACCACACATGCGTGAGTCCTTATATGAACAGTCCACAGGTCATCTGGGGCTTTCCATCAGAGACTAGAACTCTCCAGAATGGGCTACAGAGTTCTTTTAACGTATCACTTAGCAGGTTACAACCATGTGCTGAAATGGTTTTGAATATTTCTTATACTTACTCAATAGATATTACCATGAATTTTGCTAACTAATCTTCTGCTTTACTTTAGAAGGAAAAACTGTGAATGACACAATCTGGCAGGAACCCAGCAAGGCTGAGAATAATTCCCACATCAGAAGGCCCTGTCAGCTAAAAGGTAATTGCTAAATTTATTTCAGCTGACTTTTCATTTTTTCCAAAGTAGTTTAAAGGGCAGGTAAGAAAAATTTACATCTCTCACCATTAAATAGGGCATTGTGGTCCACTTACAAAGGAAAAACAAATAAGATAGCATGAGTAGTATTAGAACTTGTTGAGATCTCTCTCTATATATAAATGGCATATTTATGTATATTTATGTGCATATATATATATATATATATATGGTTATATACATGCAGTCACATAGATACACATATAAAAAGGAAGTAAAATCTAAGTTTCCTGTTGTAGCAAAAAGCAAAGAACCAATTACAAGTAATATTTGAAAATCTTTAATGTCCAAAATAATTTTAAAATTCATTTAAAATCAGCAAATAGAAAAACCCTTTAAAGATAGCAATATATTTAATAGTCATTATATTGACATTCTAAAAATTAATTTAGGAGAAATAACATTGATTATTAATGTAAAATTATGCCATTTCATAATTTAAAAATTCCCATGAGGAGGAAATTAGCAGTCAGGTATAGAATAATTTATTAATAATAGATGACTTCATAATTAAAATTACTTAACTTTGGGAAGATAAATATTTATGCTAGTCAGATTTTCATCACTGTGACAAATACCTGAGAAAAACAACTTAGAGGAGGACAGAATTATTTTGTCTCACAGCTTCCTAGGAGGTTTCAGTCCATGTTGACTGGTCTCATTGCTTTGGGCCTGAGGAGAGGCAGAACATCATGGTGGAAGGGCCTGACAAGGAAAAGCGTGTCAGCTCATGACAGCCAGGAAGTACAGAGAAAGGAAAAAGGGGTCAAACAAGAAAACACCCCTTTGAGTTCTCATGGGATTCAGAGAGTATTTTGGGATGCAGAGCCGAGTGGAAGCCTGGATTTCCCCAGAATGTGTGTGTAGAGTGTCGGTGACAGTTCGAGAATAAAGAGTTGCTGTTTGAATCTACAAGGTGTGTGGTGGCTCGTGATTTTGTGCCCAGCCAGACTGCGGCAAACACCCATCCAGGGGATTCCTCCACTGACATACTTCCTCCAACCATGCCCTAATGCCTCATTTTCACTACCACCCAGTAATCCATGCAACCACCAATGATCATCCATTGATGGGATCAGAGTTCTTAAGATCCGATAATTTCCCGAAAGTCCCACCTCTGAACATGGCTGCACTGGGACCTTTAACACATGAGACTTTGGAGGACCTTCCAGATCCTACCCATGAGTTCACAAAGATAAACAAAACTGTAAAAAGTTGGTCTATTTAGTATTCCTCCCAAGGTTATTGAAACAAGAAATGACCAGTAATACAAGGTTTCAATAATTTAAAAGTTGTTGATGTTTAACTAAAAATATTTTTTAATATTTTGAGACAAAGGGAATTTTAATGTATTTTTGCAGTTAGGACCTTAATACTTGTTTGATTCTATATTCGGTTAAGATTTTTTTCACTTTAGTTTTCCACCAAGCTCTTAGGTTTATAAATCCATTATTTATGAAAATAATACTTTTCCTTTGAAATATTTCAATTTTATCCAAGGTTAAGTAACATTTGGCAAGTGATTTTAATTAAAGATTTAAAAATTTCTCTGTAATAAGTGAGTTAAACATTTCAGGATTTTAGGAAATATTTTCTTTTAATTACTACAAAGGGAATGTTTTAATGGTATCATGTTTTCATTGGATTCTGTCTTCTGATGAATGCCAGTTATATTCATCTATATAACTGGCATTCGTCTGACTCAGTCAAACATTCATCCATTTATCTGTCATTTTGTCTATTCATCCGCCTATCCATCCATTTATCCTTCCCTCTAACAAGCACGTGTTATAATTTAAATTATTATTTTTTGATGATTTATGGTTAATGAAGCTATAACTGTATTATATATTATTTTTAATTAAGAAATTTGCCATAACTTTCTTTAAGTATTCAATTTTCTACAATTGCCATTGTAAGAAATGCTGGCTTTGTTTTACTTTTTACATTTAGTAGTAATGGGCAGGTAATTCTGTTATAGTTACTCTGACAAAACAGCAAAGGATCTTGACCTCAGATGAGGTGCTTCTGATTGATGGTCTTTTCTTTGTGAAAGACGAAGAAGAAGAAGAAGAAAAACACTAGAAAGCTTTTACAGAATACTTCCCAGCTTTGCTATTTCTCAGGTTTTTGAGTGTTCATGTACATTCAGGATGTGTGTGTGTGTGTGTGTGTGTGTGTGTGTGTGTGTGTGACCAAGAAATTCAGCCCACATTTCAGCAGTAGCAGTTGAGTCACAGGACATTACCTAGGGATTAATGCTGTGCTGGGAAGAGTTGATGGCCTGAGACCAAGGCTGTCGGTGACATTATAAATTGAAGGGAGAAATTTAGTGGGGGAGGGAGAACCACAAGTTGTGGGCTCAAATTTTATGGGTGTAGTAGCTTCATTTGGATGTCTCAGAGTATTTCTTAGCAATTAGTGCCCTACATATCAACCCATAATATTTCTTCCTCATTTTAAATAGTACTTTTTAGCAGTTAGTTGCATAATTACTTAGGAATGGTTTACTGTGCCTGAGGATAGGCAGTCTGGAATCTAGTGACATGAAGATGGGAAAGTGCATTGTTGTTGTTATCATTGTTATCATCTATAGCCCCTGATTTTTACTGAACACTAATGATGAAATTATAAAGACAGCCACAATAAAATAGAAGAAGAAAATATATAGAGAAAATAATGGTAGTAGAAACATTAAGTCTTAAGAAACCTTACAACCTCAAAGTCCAAAATTTCAAAATGGTATTTCTACATGACACTCATTCTATTAATAGCATGTACCCCTAAAGAGTATTGGGATTTGATGCAAAACTTGCATAGGCTCTATTTAGCAGAGGATCTGTGCCTGTCCTTTTAATCCTTACAGATATTCACATAGCTCCACAACACGGCTATGCAATATCTGTCAGAGCAAAGAGTAAGTTGAGTGGCAGAAGCCTAATATTCTTTTTTTATTTTGTCCATTTCCTTTTTCTAAGAAGAATTTTGTTTAAACCTACATGCATTGTAGTAAGAGATTACCTCTGTAAAATAAATATAGGGTAAATATATTGCTCAGGACTTTGCCACTTAAAAAAAAACTCAAATAGCTTAGGTGTCAAGGCAAATTAATCTCTAATTTATGTTAATTATATTTCAGCATTGTAAACAGGGATAATATTCATTGTTTTGTAAATTGATTTCAATTCTAAAGTTTCTAATTTATTTTGGCTTTTGTTTTATAAAAGAAAACTGAGAAAAACAAACTTTTGAAAACTATGAATTGGAGTTTACTGAAGATCAAGTTGGAATTTACATAAAGATAGATTCAAGAACAAGGTTTTCCTACTTCATACCAAAAATTACAAAGAATAAAAGCAAAGCAATATTTTTAAAAATAATGAAAAGGAATCAAAGCATTTGGGCATGTAGTTGATTTTATAGTCAATATGACTATGATAAACTCTTCCATATAAGCATTTGGGAAAAAAAAGCATGTAAAGGAAATAAAGGAATAAGAAATAAGGACAGGAAACCATGGTTAGTAGTAAAAGCAGTGTTAACTCCATTCACACTACTGCAGAATTACTTTAAAAATAAATCCTCTTTACATATGATCTTGTAAATTTCATTCTCAAAAGAAAACCCATGGGGAGAACAGTGATATTCTTAGGGCCTTCTATCATGTGAATGCTATGGTTTGAAACCTTCATTCTGTCCTGAATTTTACTCAATATCAATATTTGGCCAGCCTCTTTGAAATAAGCATGTAAATATTTTTGGCTTGATTTTTAAGACCTCATTAATTCTTTTCTCTTCCTCCTCTTCTTCCTCCTACTGCTTCTTTTGTTTGGGGGGTCTGATTCCTAATACCCTCATTTTAAGACAATGAACAAAGTCACAAATGTATTTACTATTCTGGATAATATTTTGGTAGCACACTTTTCTTTTTCTTTATCTTTTTTTGGCACTGCTGGGAATCAAACCCAGGACCTTGCATGTGTTAGTGTTCTATGACTAAGCTACACCTCCAACCCTACACATTTAATTTAAAAAAAAAATAAAGAAAATGTTTTGAAAGAGCAGGCACTTCAACTCTGACTAGACTGCACTATAAGAGGAATGGCAGAGAGAAGAGCTATTTCACAACTGAATGTCCACTTATGATGGCTGAATGAACTCTCTGAGCAAAGGCTACCTGCATGGGAGGCAGCTCTTACACTTCCAAGGAAGATCTTCTGAATTCAATAATGGCAGCACTTAGAGATCCTGTTTTTTGTACAAATAAATCTTGAATCTTGGATCCTTAAATTATTTACATGAATTCTTAGGATTATAGTTCCCTATTTGAAAATTATTATAGTCAGATGTATCCCTATTAGAATTACCTAGAAGTTAATTATAAATAAAGATAGTTTTCTTTAACTCATCCAGTTTATTTTTCTGCATATTCATTAGAGGGAAAATTTGAGTATCGATTTTTATGTGGGATGGTGCATTCCTATGCATACAGATGTTTATGATCCACTATGTAGTTCATGCTTGTTCTGGTGATCTGTTGCTCAAAACAAACCACGCTAATATTTAGTGGTTTAAAACACTGTTTTTAAGGCTCATGAAATTCAGACAGATATCAGGAATTCAGTGAGAGCAGTGCTTCTTGATATGATGTCTGGGACTTCATTTGGGAGGACTTGAATGACTGGGAAGACATTAACAGTTTGGTGAATGATCATATAGAGGCTTCTTCACTTACCTGTCTGGCACTTGATCTGGGATGGACTGGGCTCAGCTTGGACACTCATCTGGAGAATCTATATGTGGCCTCTCCATATGACTTCAACTTCTCTGGGTCTAATGGTTAAGTTTCAAGAAGAAGCAACAGAAAAAAAGTTTCATTCCACAACAAGGGCAAAAGTGTTGGGAAATGAGCACTTTAAGAGATAAGACAGAAAGAATAAGTCTTCTTCTAACCTAGCCTTGGATGTCACAAAGCGTCACTTCTACCACATTCTACTGTCACTAGTGAGGCACTAAGTTTAGCCTAAAATCAATCAGAGGAGACTCGAACTCCATTTCTTGATGGAGTAGTGACAGGTCACACTGCAGAAGAGATATGTTTGTGGTCATCTTTAGAAAACTCCATCTGCACATTGCCTAATTTAACTATTGCTCTTTGTCACTCTTTAGACGCAGACTACTCCTGTGGTTAAAAATGCTATCTTTATGGGGAAATATTTTGGAAATTTGACAACACACATTATGGTTAATCTTCATAAAATGCAATTATCCTGGTGTTCAGCCTTAGTCCCAAACCCTAACAGGCCCCAGTTTTCTATAGCAGGAGTGAAAACTGGTAATTCTATCATTGAATTTATTCCGAAGACAAGTTTGTTGGTGGCCATTTGATTATTTTAAAACTCAGAAATTTTTACATTAAAATCCACATATTCATACTTGTTTGAAAAACATGAGGGAAACTGAAAATCCTGGACCCAAAGTCTTAGGAGAGTTCATTCAGAGAGTGGAAAGCCATGACAACCTTTCAGCTGGTGAATTGGCCCTCTAGCTCATGATAGCACATCTATTGTCTCCTTGAGCAATCCACTTCCTGTAATATTTGCAAATGGTTGTATTTCCAACATTGATCTCCAAATTCTTGCACCTGATACTCAGGGACCATTCAAATTTGGCCACAGTTACCCACACGGTCCTCTCTCTTCATATAGCATATCCAGAATTGCCCTCTGGAATAACGAATCTCAATCTCTGCCCTTAAACATGGTCCACTCGTTCTGTACTATAGGCCCGTGTTCAGTGCATTTGTACAAACACTGCTGAATTTGTATTTTTCCTTTTTCTTCCACCTTGCCTTAGAATACATACTCTTCAAGCTTTCAGGCGGGCCCTGACTCTTGCATAAGTACCTCAGGTCATAATAATCTCATCCCATCCTATTGTGTCTGAACCACTCATTGTAACCACCTTGTATTATCATGTAAGTTCATTGTACATAATCACATCCAATTTCCTCAGAGAGATTACAGATTCTAGAGTACAGAAGGCCACTTACCTTTGTCCATACTTAAAGCAATGTATTGAGAGGGAACTCTTCAAAATTCATTTCAAAGGGATCAAAAATAAATAGAGAAAGAAATATAGGGAAGAAATATTGTCTTTTGAAACTGCAGAAACAAACAAAAAAACAGGTTGCAAAAATCACAACTTTTGGCATCTTGACCCAATTATAGAATATCTTGTTTGAAAGAACCATGTCACAGAATCAACTCATCTTAAAATTTAGACTCCTATTGGAATCCTATAACATAGTGACTTTGAGTTTAAATATTCAGTTATTGGTGCAAATAACTCTGACACTATGAATTTAACCTAAGTTTTAACTGAAACATATAAGGGGAATTTGAGGAAAATTCTGTTCTCACTGTGCATGAAGGATAGGCTTCACTTCAGTGCACAATAGGGCAAAAAGGAATTGTGGAAAATTCTAGCAGTGATTCCAAGTAAAAAGGAATGAAGGTGAAGAGAATGTTTACTTGTTTGGTGGCCAGGTGATTTTTTTTGTGGGTCACAGTCTCCTCATCTGTAAAATAAAACAGATTAAGTAACCCATAGGTTTTTTCCTCTTTTAACACATTATATAATTCAGATATAAATAAATGAAGCTCTTTGTACAGGGTCTGAAAAGGAATTGCTGTTATTTTTGAAAAGGTTTCATTTAGCTACAAGCAAATTCCAAAGCTTTCACTAAAGCCTGCATAGAATAATTTTGACATAAATAATTCATGTCGAGAAGACCCAAGCTAATGAAGCTCAAAACGCCAGAGGTGGATAGCTTAGTTTAACAGAAACAGGTGAGGTGATAACAGCAGGGAATCATAGTATTTTGGAGTTTGAAGTGGCTTTTGTAACTAGTGTGCTATCCTTTTATTACCAAGAGAGAAAAAGTCCCCGAAAGATTTTGTGGCTCGCTTAAGGACACAGCTGGTTGGTGGCATTTTGAGTTTTAATTTTGTTATTTCGCGATTTTATTTTGATCTATTTCTTGTAAAAATAGTACACCTTTAAGAAGAGAAAATTTTATGACCAAGCCAATATAAATTCATAAATAGACTATCTAAAAACACATTTAATATTAAATTGCACCTAAACTTCCTAAATCTTGTAGTTTTGCTTCTGTTTGTTTTTTTTGCAGTGTTGGTGTCCAGGGCCTCGTGCGTGCTGGGCGAGAGCTCTAATACTGAGCTAAATCCCAGCCCTAAATCTTGTCATTTCTGACAATCTATGTGTAACCTTTATTTCTTTCTATAGATCTAAATGAAGATGGCTTTATTTTGAACACTCACATGAATACCTTTCAAGAAAAAGAACAAGGGACTTCTTATCAGGTGAATAATATGAATAATCAACATTTAGTTGGTGTTTTGTGAAAATCTTGTTACTGAGCTCTCTAATAGGCTAGATATAGTGTACAATATTTAGACAGCCCGGTAGCTACTTTGTAGTTAGTTATTGTTGATTGTTTTGTGATTGATAAACTTATGTCCCTATGAATTGGAACATAAATGAAAAAAAAATCAAATAATGATTTGAGATAATAAGATTTTGATTGTGCAAAACATCATGCTCTATGGCCTTCTGATAAAAAGAACTCTGGGTCTGTTAAATTAATATACTGGGATGTTCTCTGATGAGATGTTTGCTAAATACTTGGAACTATTTGACAACCTTCAGTGTGAGGCTGTTCCTCAGAGCTGGCAGATTATCTCTGAAATATGCAACTCATTTTCCTTAATTCAGATAAGATCTCAGATATAATATCTTAGTGAAACATTTCATATAAAGACATATACTCTGGTTCCTGACTTATTCCTCTGAAAAAATGCATTAATTAGCCCAGGCATTCAAGCAATTAACAACATCCAAATGTTGGGCCTTCACAATGATAATAATATAAATTCACAGCTAAGTACTTGCTATTCATCCTGTAGCAAAAAAAAAAAAAAAAATAGTATATGAGTCAATAGAGGCAACTCGAGCATCAGGCTGATTTTTGATATTTTTCTGACAGCCATAAGGTCCTCTTTAATCATTGTGATAGTTTTATTAGAAAATTTAGAACTGACCTTCCTTGCTGCAGTAGATTGATCAATAGGCAGAGGATATATAGCATATGAATTGTGAAGGGTTGATTTGGTAAGGAAAGGGAGCTCACATTCCTAAATTCTGCCTGATTTCTGAGGCTGTTGGAGGCCCTCCAATGAATTAAACAATGGGCTATAACTTTTGATCAACTGCAGCTTTTGCTGGTTGATCTGATGGCTGCCGGAATGAGAGTATTCTCCTGAGGTCTGCTAGCACATTGCCTGAGCGCCCATCTTCCAGTGGAGTCACCAAAAGTGCATGAACAAGGGCTTTGAAATCAGAGTGTGGTCACATCTTGGTTTGACTTGTAGTTACCATATGACTTTGGGCCATTTCTTTGCTCTCTTCTACCTCAGTTTTCATCACTCTGTAAAATCAGTCTATAAAGGACCTTCTGTCTCAGGGCTGTCATGAAGATGGAGTGAGATACCTCACTACAGCCCTTAGCTTCACGGCTGGCATTTAGTTGATGCTTTAAAAAATTCGGTTGTTGGTCATTGCTCCTCTTCTGTTTTGCTTTACGTCTCTCTCCCCTCCTTCCCTGCCCCACCACCCTCTCTTATTCTTTACAAGGGCTGGATGACACTTTCACAAGCGCAGCTGGCAGATTATCTCTGAAATATGCAACCTCATTTTCCTAAATTCAGATAAGATCTCAGATATAATATCTTAGTGAAACGTTGTCTGATAGTCAGAAAAAATACTGGCTGGTTTATAGGAAAAGTTCCCCCAGATATGTCTTGTGCCAAAGGAAATTTTTCTTTAGATTTTTAGTAGAAAATATAAAACTGTTAGAAGAAGGAAATAATGCAGAAAGTTCTTAGAAGAAAATGGTAAAAGATAATTCTTTCCTCTAACACTAATGCTTTGGGAACTTTTAGTTGGCTAAGAAGTGGGGCTTCTAGAATGTAACCATTCAATTTTGCCATGTAGTTTACCACTAAAGGTGAGTTTAAGGAATTCATACCCAGTGGCAGACAAACAGGAGCCAGCTCATTGGGAAATCCCTGTTTGAGAGAAGGGACTAATCTTATCTTTCTTTAATAACTCTGTTCTTATTCATAATAAGCATCAATTAAACTTATTTAAGAAATGTTATCTCTATGACAGAATACTTTGTTTTAACAAAAAGAGTGTACATAAGGTATCAATTTATTAACTCCTTGTGATTGAGGGAAAGTGGATTCAGTTTACCCTTTGAAAGATGAGGAAGGGAAGGAATGATTCTCAGACAGAGAAGCAAATTTACTGTGAAGGGGAAGACTCAGTGGGACCAAGGATGGACCGTTAGCACAGACTGTGTCCCCCCAAAAAACAACAGATGACCAGTATATAGCAATGTTTCTGCAGGTGTAGCCTAAGCACCATCTGTATCAGACTTTCTCGGAAAACTTGTTGAAAATGTAGACTCTGGACTGGGAATGGAGCTCTGTGGTAGCTACCTACCTACCACCCAAAATGCCCTGAGTTCAGTCCCTAGTGACCCAGGGTTGGTGTGGTGTTGGTTGGGGGTGTTGGTGCTGCAGACTTCTTGTCCAAATGCATAGTCGTGACTGGGGTCTAGGGATGGGGGATTTATGTGAATCTCTGACACTGCTCAGTATCTAAACCGTGAGACTTTTTGGGATCAGGATTCGAATCCTTAGTTGGTACTTGTCTATAGACATGAAGTCCCATGCATTGTCAATTGACAAGTCCAAACTTGGCTCAGCTCTGTCCTTGGAACACAACAGCCTCTAGAAAAAAAAGTGAATTTGATTTTTGTTCCTTATTGGAATGATTTATGCTCACTGTAGAATTTTTAAAAATCCTTAAAAATAGAAAGCATGTTGGGCATGGTGGTGTACACCTGTAATCTCTGTGGCTGTGGAGGCTGAGGCAGGAGAGTCACAAGTTTAAGCCTCAGCAACTTTGTGAGGCACTTAGCAACTCAGCGAGTCCCTGTCTCTAAATAAAATATAAAAAAGGCTGGAGATGTGGCTCAATGATTAAGCATCCCCTGGGTTGAATCCTCAGTACAAAAAGAAAAAAAAAATAGAAAGGATTAAGATAATGTATAATATCCTAACAGAATAAATGTTTTCATATGACTATTTTACAGAATAACAGTAACACAGGGAAAAGTTTATAGATTGTGAAATATTTTAGTAGTTATAATGATCACATGACATATACATATAAAATATTAGGACATTAAAAAGTTCAGATTAAAAGACTTAAACATATGCTTAATTTCCAATCAGAAAGTCCTGAAACAGACATGCTTTCTGTATGTTTTCAAAATGAGAGATAGGTCTCAGGAATGGAAGAAGTTACAAAGAAGCCAGTGGCAGTAGAGTATGTTGGTGGAATGCTTTTCCCAGGACTGACTTGCTCCATGACTATTTCTATGCACTTGACCTGGGATAAACTTACTGGAGAACCAGGCTTGCAGAAGTGCTGATCAGGAGAGTCTGAGGGAAAGCAGCCTGCTTAGTTCTGTCATCATTATTCCAACCATAAAGAACGTCTTGGGGGAACTTGACTCCCAGCATTTATTTTTGTATCCTTGTTCTTGTTTGTTCTTCTCTGGCAGCGTTCAGTTGATGGTTCAAACCTTTTGTAGCGTATTGAAAAGGGTATAAAATATGCAGTAATACAGACTTTGGGCTAATATATTTTCAAAAATGTTGCATGCCTCATTTCTCACGTAAATTTTTAGGTTGCTTTCAGCCTTCAGAGCGTCATTCATATTCATGATAGAAAAGAGGGATAACATTTATTACCTTCACTGCTCATGAAATTAAGCACTGTCAAGCACCCCTACCCAGGACTGAGTCAAAACGTATTCCTCCTGAGCTCTTTTAGTGAGAAAAAATATATTGATAACTGAATATTTAATTAAAAATACACATGTAGTACACATTTAATTAAATTATTTAATTAAAATGCATACACATATACACATACATTCTGTCCTATGGCAGCTATTAAAGTATTGAGTACCACATCACTCCATACAAAATTTAACCCATTTCTTTCCTGATGTCTTTTACTATGGAAACAGTAAGTATTTGAAGTTTCAGCCTCTTCTTTAGTTTGAGGTAGCCATGGGATTCAGGGCTGGCCAATGAAATGCTAACAAATTTTTAGGGAGGGGAAAAGAAAAGCAAAGATCTATGAGTTTTGTCCTTTGCACTCTTTCTTATCTAACGCTGGACATGATATCTGGTGAGTTAGCAGCCACCTTCCACCAGCAGGCCAAAGGCAGAGATGTGAGGATGGTGGAGCAGGAAAAGGCAGGAAGCCTGGTCATTAAGGACATTCTTTGGAAGCTGCCCTAGCCTTGGACTGCCTTTGTTTGGACTTCTCGTTTATGGAAACATAAGCTGCCTAATTGGTTAAGATACTATTGTGGATTTTTCCATTCCTCAGAGCTGAACACTTTCTCAACTGATACATCTTATCTTGAAAACAGTCACTTCTGACAATGCAGAAGTCTAACTGCTCCACCCAAGCAATCAGACAGACCTGTGTCTACAAAGTGGGATGGTGTGGAGACTTATCTCTGCGCAACCTAGACTAACCCACTTCTGTTCTCATGGGAGATATCAGCATGTAGAGTTAGTCATGTAGTTCTTGAGATAAAAATTGGATTAATAATGAATGCAATATGGGCTATTCACAGCCTGTTGGTTATATAAAACTTTAAAATTATATCCATTGCAGCACACCATTGTTTGGAAAGATGTGTAGTGTGTGGACCAAAGTGGTCCATTTTCTTGTTGTTGTTATTATTTATTGATTTGTGTGGACCAAAATGGGACATTTTCTTGTTGTTGTCATTATTTATTGATTTATTCATTTAGTTATTTAGTGAGGTTAACTGAAGTCAAAGCACTTGTGTTACTGGGAAGAACTTTTAAGATAATGGTGTAATCTGATAATCTATTAATAAACAAGAGCAGCAGGTCCTTCTGAAAGTTTCATTAGACAGATTTGAGATGAGAGGTGTGAAAATCTATAAGGAAAAGGAAAAAGAGGCTGAAGCAACATTTCAAACAGTACCTTATAAGTGGCAAACAAAAGAGTCATTAAATATGTTGTGATAATATTGAGATGAATACTGATATTAAGCATTAATCTGTGTTTATTATTTCTAATGATTTTTATGTACTGTATAAGTTCAGCTATTGTGTTAGACAAGGAAAGAATAGAACTCCTTTTAAGACCAAGTCCCAGAAGTTAAACATCAACATTTCCATCATATTCTTTTTACTAGAATCAAGTTACTAAATGCAGCTCACACAAAGAGGAGGGGCATTATGATCCATCTTTTGAAGAGAGAAATATGTGAGAATTTTTGGACACATTTAAAAGCTATCAGAGCTACATAATAATATTTTGAAATTACAGATACTAATAGATGGAGAAAATGT